CAAGGAAAAGTATTCTTCATTAATTTCATTACCCACGACATAATTTGTTTAAAATATGACTCAATGCATTATACCATAGTTAATAAGGGGCTAAAAGAACTAGAAAGAACACTAAATTCAGGTTAGAGATGAGATAATTTTAGTTATTATTTCTTCTATCTTATTATTATTATACCTTCTACCTAGTTTTTACTTCTGGAGAATGTAACAAGATATTTTGGCATGTTTACTCATCAGAGTTATTAAGAATCTTCATTGTTCCAAAATATTCATTAGATACCAAAGTTATATATGGGGTTAAGAAAATTTAAGAAAGTTAAGAAAAGTTTACATATGATCTAATTATTCAGTCAAATTCCAGTCAAACAAAGCTTCCTTTCCTACTTCCTTCCTAAAACCATACTTTGTTGCAGAAAGACCCATAAGGGCATCTCCACACATCTTGAAGAGGAGAAATGGGGAGAGGAAGAGTCTTCATTCCTTCAGCATTTAAGATGTTGAAGGACAAAGGGCTGGATACAAACAGGAACAAATAGATTTAGTATGAGCTGAAATTTCACAACTGAATCTTCACAACCACTCTTGTTGTGAAGTCTGGTTGTCTCCAGACTTCATCGGCACTATTTGCATGATGAGCAGCAGAAATCTTCTTGGGTAGTTATCTTTGGTTTTACTTTCATATATTTTCATGAGACAAAATGTCCACTGAAATCTCACACCTATGCCACAACTATATTTCAGGATGTTCCATTTAAATCAATCCAGCTGGAAAGTCACCTCAAAATGAAACTCTGAAGCCTTTATCTGCGTTTTCTTAATGAATTTTTTTTTAAACAAGACACTGAACTTGATGAGACACAGAATACTTTTTCTGTCTAATAAAATATCGAATAACACACAATCCTATACAAACTAATGGATGCTCAGGTAAAAAGAAATGCTTATGCAAAAATGTTTCCCACAAGATGTAATGCTTAGAAAACAAAATTCAAATTTATATTTATTATCCTATAGTTTTGATAACAGAAACAATGATCTTTCTTTCCAAAGGTAATTGTTAGTTAGGTAAAGTTAGACACTGCTGGGAAATATTCAAGTACAAAAATGAAAAACGATGTTCTTCATGTTCGGTATTTGGAATGCTGAAGACTTTGGCATCAAAACCAATAGTTCTGAAGACTGAATGGGTAGTTGTGATATGTCACATGGCAAATGATCTAGGGGACCATTCTTACTATTTTTCAGTTCAGCACCTCTCTGTGGTTGTAGAGCTGGGAAAACAAGAAGATGAAAGGGAATGACTTGTGTTTCTTGACATGTGTTTTCAAACCTGTTGAGAATTACTCAAGCTGAGGTCTTAAAATTATAGGAAACATTGTGAGCAAGAGATTGCCAATCTGGGAAGTACTCCATAAATGGTCGGTTACCTTCACACCAGTTTTGTAACTCAGCACATGAAACAGAGACACTAATGTCTCCAAACTGTAGAAAGAAAAGATAGCAATTTTTCAGCATATAAACTAATAAAGAAACAAGCACTTGGTGTTCAAAGTGTTACAGTCTCACTGAGTACATTTTAGTTCCATTTGTGATCATCACAGCATCCCATAAATTGAAGAGTGTGTTCAGCTCACGTTTGATAGGTTGAATCCTAAATGCAAGACCATGTTTCCACATCCTAATAAAGTACACAATCCAACCGTGCAAACAACACTTAAATGCCTCAAGGTTTTTTTTCTGTATAAAAAGCCTGTTAAAGGACAGCAAAATAGGAAGCTTTCATGGAGTTGGATTCTGAATAGAAGAGGATACACGAAATCATAATGAGTTGTTATGTGAAGTATTAGCTCTTCTTTAAGCTTCAAAGTTAATTAGTAAACTTATTCTCAGAACAACTGTTTTGATGTCCTGAATGTATCTCTGCCTGTGAGGAACTAATCTTAACTTGAATAGTAGCAGCAAATCCTAAGAAAACATTAATGATATTTTGCCAGAGGACAAATGGTTCAGAATCTGCTTTTCCACTGTTAGAGGCAGCTTTTCTTCAGTGCATCAAACAGTCAAAATGAAGAAAGAGGTGCCATGTTTAGAGCACTGTCATTCCATAATTTCCTGATTTTTTTAAACTCAAAAGTTTTTTTGCTTGTAAAGAAAGCACTTCTGTAAAGGCAGTCAGCACTCCTTCTGTTTAACAGCTGTGTGTGCATGCCAGAAATATTTGCCAACTACTGTTCAATGTAATGAAATAATTAAAAAATATAAATATTCTGATTACTGACTAGCTGTTTTGTTTTGAACCTGTCAAAAGAAGACAGACAGCAAGCAGGACAAACAGATGAGAACACTGAGTAGCCTCAACAAGGCCACTGCTGCCTGTATGAAACAGTGCAGGGAGCATGCACTGTAATCCAATTAATTTTCTATTCAAGGACATGTAGAGAACAAGCAGCAGCTGCACACAAGTCCTGTTTCATTCATCTCCTAGAATCTAAGTTTTAAAAGCATGTCTGCAGAAAAGCAGAACGTATAATGGAAAAATGTCGGATTTCCCAGTACACGAGGTATGTCAAGGAGGCAAGGTGATGAAGATGCTGCTCCTGAATAGGGAAGTTTATTCTTCCTACACCTTTATTGCTGTAGGCTCTCTGCAGATTCACACAGGCTATTCCTCCTGAAATCCCTGTTTTCGTAGCTCTCCCTGCACAGAAGGACAACAAACTTCTGTGCGTTCCCTGTGGCATTGCTTCCCACACATCAAGAACCCCCAATCCATGGGCCTGATTAGGCAGAGTGTGTCTGGTTTCGATGAGGCACAAGCTGTGGAATCCTCAGAAACTAGGCTGAAAGAGCACTGACTTATTTCTGCAAGGAGTCTGTTTTGAATTATGCTTCCTATTAGCAGCAGATTTAAAAATTAGGGAACTATGAGTAAATCTGGAACTTAACAAGGCTTAAAATAGGCCTGGGTCACAAATCTTGATGACTGTGTGATGGGTTGGTCTTCAGTGCAACAACATGGAGGTCTTTAACAAAAAACATAAGTAGAAAAAGCCAGAGTGACTAGAGTATGGGGAGGCGGGAAATAATAAAGGTAAGTTATTTCTTCCCATCTTATGTTCTGAAACTCAGGATAAGCTTACACAAATGGTAAACATATGGAATAAATTATCAGGGAAGTGGTCTCAAAACAAAGACTACAACAGAGTTCAAATGACACATTTCTGGAACAGAAATAGATGGAGCCATAAAGTCAACACAAAAAAGTAGGATTACGAGTAACCTGAAAAAGGGCAAGCAAATTAGACTACAAGCCATTTTCCCATTTCTTATGTCAGCTTCCCAAGACTGCACATCTGAAATGTGTAATTTAACATAAGCCCAAAGAGCCCTCCTTGCCAACCACAGAAAAATTAATCAAACATATTCTCATACCAGAGAAGTAATAGATATTTATACAAATAAAGAGGCAAGATCTATTTATACACATACGCACTCAGATCCCTGTGCATGTTTATTATAGCTGAACTGAAATTAGATAAGTAACATAAAAATCATTAAGCAACATTATAAAGGTCGGTTAGTGCTTGAGTTTCAGCCAGGCTGGCCATAAAGTCAGGTAATAAAGCTGCAATGCTTTGAAAATGCTGATGTATTTGAAATGAGTTGTTCTATGTGATTAAAAGAGATGTGAGAGGTCAGGAGAACAATATAATCTAACACCACGTCTACACTGCAGATTCCAGCGAGCAGAGCTACCTCAACCAGAAGGATGAAGCTGTTTAATATATCTGACTGGTACAGCTGCACTGTCAGCCGTGCCTAAAGTGTTAATATATTTACACTGGTGTAAAGCTTGAGTTTTATAAATGTAACTTCTTTTACTTGCTGTTTTTCCTAGGCTGGTACGATACACAGATGTGCTAACACAACTGCAGCTCTAACACCAACACTTTCTGCAGCAGTAACACAGATAGAGTCAGAACCACAGATGCTAGGAGTTTGACTGTTTCTACTCTAAATACATTACACCACTGACGCTCTCTGAACGCAAACGACCAGGGATTTGCGGGAAAAATACACCAAAGTTGCTCCATAAGCAAAACTCCAACAAAGTCTGCCATTCCTGCTGTGCTGCTGAGGAACAGCACCTCTTCCTGCCTCTGCCCGCACACCTGTGCTAACAGCGCCCATACCAACGGGCCTGTTCCCGCTGCTGCACATCCCATCTCTTATTCCACTGCGTGCCTCGTGTGCACGTGACTTCCGCAGGTTCCATGGCTCGGTTTTGCCACCCGCGACCACTGGGATACCCGTAGGGCTGGGGCTGGGCTGCAGTCTACTATCCTCTGGTAGTGCCAGAGGGCCGAGAGGGAGAGGGTCCGCACCGCGCTCCGAACGAAGCCTGCAAACACAACCGCAAGGAATGAACTCTACCGAACAGCACCCTGAAAAACCACCACCCCCGAGACCCCGCCCCGGGGGAGAGGGCGGGGACGCCAGCCCTGGGCTTGGTAGGCGGGATAACCAATGGACCAACCAGAAAGCGGCTTCCGGGAACTCTTATCCAATAGTGAACTTCTCCTGGCTCCAGGGGCGGAGGCGAGTAGCGGAGCGGAGCGCCATGTCTGATCCTGGTACGCGGTGCCCTCACGCACAATGGCCGCCGGCAGCGATCACGTGGCACTCAGTGCCCTCGAGGCGGGGGTAAAAACATCGGGGGGGAGGTGAGGCGCATGCGCAACACCGGGGCGGGCGGGGCGAGCGGGTAGGGGCGGGGAAGCCTCGGGAAGCCCCGCCCCCTAACACGATCCCACCCCTGCCGGGGCACAAGCCCCGCCTCCGCGAGGCTAAACCACGCCCACATGTGACAGAAGCCCCGCCCCCCGTGGCGCTAAGCCCCGCCCCCCGTGGCGCTAAGCCCCGCCCCGTGTCAAGCGGCCGTGCCGGGGTGGCCGGGGGCGTGTCCTGCGCGTGCTGCCGGTGGCGGGGCCGGTCCGGTGCGAGCGGCGCAGCCCCGCCCGCGCCCCGTCCCGCCGCCCGCGCCATGTCCCGCGCTCCCGCCGGGCCCGCCGTGCCCGAGGACGTCTGCAGCCTCCTGGCAGGTGAGGGCAGGAGGGAGGGCTTCCTTGCCGGGGGGCGGGCGGAGGGGATGCCGAGGGGGGCGGGCCGGCGAGGGTGTGCCGAGCCGGGGGAGCCCCGGCGTGCGGGAGGAGCAGCCCCTGGAGCCGCGGCGCCGGCGGAGCGCTGCTGGGCGAGCGCGGGGCGATCGCTTCCCTTGCACGGGCTCGGGGTTTCCGTCTTTCCCCCCGCAGTTCCCCCTGCCCGGTCACTTCCCCTCCTCGTGCCTGTCCCTGGCACCCGCAGCGCCTCCGTTCCCTTTCCCGCAGTGGGGAAGGAGCGACCCGGCCCCCGGAGCCCCCGGGGGGTGCCTCCCGGTGCGGGGCTGCCGTGTGCGGGGTGCGGCCACCCGGGCACCCCGAGCCGCCCGGGGGAAGTGACTCCTCCCGGGATGTGCGGGCAGGGCCGACTGCCCGAACCAGCTGATAAGAAGTAATGAACTTCCCCGCTGAGCATCTGAGCAGCTCACGGAGGGGACGCTGGAGTTGCTGGTGTGTTGCATTATCAGTCACACACCTCTGACCGTGACTGCCCACGCTCTTGGGAAGCGTTGGAGCGTGGGAATGCGATGATTTCTCACCATGCAAGGTTGTCAGCAGTAGAGAATTCAGAATACGGGTGGTTGTCTTTTACCTTCAAGACTTTAATTTTTAAAATTGTTTGTTTTGTTGTTCATTGAAATAAATTGTTTACCTAAAGTTTGGTTTTACTGTTACCTCTATTGAAAAGTTTGCTGTCCTTGAGAGCATTTTAGTTTCAGTGGGACTCTCTTTCTTTTGAAAACTTCTGCTTCTGCCACAGGAACTCGTGTAGCTCTGACTTAGCCATTCAAATTACCCATGCTTTTCGAAATCTTCCTTCTGAGGTCAAGCACTCAATTGCATGTCTGGAGAACTGCTAGAATCTAGCACAGCTCGTCACCTTCGAAGACTATTCTTTTTTTAACACTTTTGATTATAAGAGCTAATGCTTGAAACGTATTGTTCTCATCACATCTCATGTTGTGCCAGCTGCCTTAAGTGTTTCCTAAGTGCGGTTTCTAAGTATGTTATTTGCAGATCATAACATCTGTAGTAAAATTTGCATGGAAAGCCACCAGAAAACAAACAAACAAACAAGCAGGGAAGCTTTTAATCCATTTTATCATGGAATAGATTCTAAATAATTTAGAAAAAAACAAATATTACCCTTAGACAGCCCTTCCAAACTTTGGTGATTTCTGAGGCATTATTGTATTCTGGACCTTGTGATCAGATGAAATGTGTGTATGTTTGTTTCAGTGCTAGTTCCACTGGGTGAAGCTTGTCTTGAAACTCTTAAAAGTTTTAAGTGCTTTAAGAGTTTTTTTTTTTTTGAGGGGGAGGATGTGATGCAGAGGGGATATTCTGGGATTTTCAGCCTCATTTACACAACTTGTCCTTCTCCCTGTCTTTATCGAGTCTGCCATGGAAAGAGAGTCACAATAGTTTTTATTTTGAAGTGAAACTGAGAACACCTATTTTTCCTCAAAAGGGTTGTGTATATGTTCTTTCAGAGTCTCTGTGATCAGCAGCCTAAGTTCTATACAGATATCTAGTGTATGTACAGTGTGTACAACTTTAGCTTTTCTGGAAGGAAATGAGATGGTTTCTCTAGTGCTGTCTATAGAACTGAAATTAAGAAGACAATGAAATAATTTACCAATGATCTTTATTATTACTAATAGTAACTAATAGTTTGTAGATTTTAATTCTTACTTTCAGAATTACCAAAGGGAAACAAATGTAAGGATAATTAAGGTTATACAATGTTAAAACTAAATAACCTGTTTAATTTAACAGAAATATGGCATTGCTTTTTACAGTTTGTGTGTGTTAGCCTCTCTTTTTTTTAAGGTTATCAGTCAAGTGAATTAGAAAGTTAGAAACTACAGTAATCTAGGCTCCATGAACGGTTCTTTCATTGATATGTGTAGAATCTGGTAATCTTTAATTATGTAGTCTTCTGCTTCTTTTTGCTCAAATTATTCATGTAGTGAAGATATATGGTAACTGAGGGGGGAAGGGAGCTCTGTAATATCTTTACTATTCATTGAGAAACTCTTACACAATGCAAAGACTGCAGTGAGTAGATAGTAATTTTTGCATGCTCTTCTTCAAAGGTGCTTCTTAATGTATTATTTTAATGGCTCACAGTTATTGATTGAGCACCTCTTGAGATGAGGGAATATTGCTTTCCCATTGGTAAAATCATTGTAATAAACAAGATGTGATTGGGGGCGCAAAAAATAGTCAATGGTGGAACAGAATTAGAATTCAAATTCACCTGCCTCCATGCTGTGCTGGTTTCTTCAGAAAATAACATGAGTTGGATGTCTATATTCAGTGGCCATTATGAGTGCCAGGCACTTCTTCATATCAGGTTCTGTTGAGAGCATGCAGTTAATGGCTAGCAAGAAGTACTGTTTTTTAGGCTGATATTCACTTAGCAGTGAGGCACTCAGAGGTACAATATCTCATAAATATGCTCTTCTGCTCTTCTTCCTTTTCTTGGCCTTTTTGCCTACTATTTCCAACTTCTGCAACAAGTGGAGGAGTGATCATATGGATTTCCTTATCCCTGCTTACTTTTGATTGATGGTTGGAGTACGTCCACCCACTATGCTGAACAAGTAGGGGTCCTACTGGAAAACATACTAAGTGCTCCCGTAGTTAAACATGGTGATAATGGGAATAAACACACCAGGGGATGAATTAAAGTTGCACAGGAAACTTTCTGACTTGTGAGTGCTTTACTTTGAACCTAAACAATATTGTGTCTTTAACGCAAAACCAAATTCTGTCACACATGCTGGCAGGGTCATTGTAGTTGCATGTCAGTGGCGCTGAAATGTTCCAGGCAGAAACACAGCTTGAGCTCAGGGCTAACTGCATTAGCTGGAAACAGAGGAAGCTGTTTCTGTAAAGTTGAAGGGGAAAGGTCAGTGTGGCAACAGGCTTATTGCAGAGGATTACTGGGATTGCACAATCCCATCCTGTCTCCTCTGACTTGTTCAAGTGGTGGGAGGGAAACACTGGAGACAGAAACAGGGTCCTCTGGTCATGAGATGAACTGCTGGTGGGAGGAGAAAGTAATTTTGTTGCTCTGTTATCTCCTCCTTTACATGTGGGAGATGTGTGGTAGTGTATGTAACTTCTTAATTCCCTACCCGAGTCCCTGCACCTTCTAGATGATGCTTGAGATTTTGGAATTTGGTGAAGGAAGCCCAACCCCACTTTGTCTTTTCTTCTTTTGGAAAGGTGTCCCTTGTGTTTATGTGTTGAGGAGCATCTTTTTGTGGGTGTTTGGCAAAGTGGAATGTTACTTTTTTTTTTTTTTTGTCACCTTAAATTCTTATTGGTTACGTAGATTGTTAGAGGCCTGCTCACTTTTATTTTTCCTTCCTCTTTTATGCACAATCTAAGTTTTGTCTTGTCCATAGCTAAGAAGGAGTTCAGAGGCTGCTTCTTCTCCAAGGGCATATTATTTCTTTTGTCATGTAAATCAGACTGGTGACTTCAGTCGTTTTGATTAGAAAAAAATTTCTTGAGTTCTTTCTTCAATCTTTATTGAGTAATAAAGATTCAGTTGGAGGTAAGACTTCGTTATTTTTAAAAAAATTTTGATGATGTCATGATCATTAGATATATGTATAATTTATATCTTTTCCCCTCTTCTTGGAACTCTTGAGTATAGTGTGGGTAGTATTGTGGTTTTTTTTAATTTAGTTTTCCTTTCATACTTCGCAGTATTTCTTGTCCGAGTCTTCTGTATTCATATTTTAGAATTTATAAATATTTTTTACTATTAAAATGTAATAAATTTTTCTCTAGTTCATATGGAACCTTATATCCCATCCTAATATCTATTTTCCTTGTTCTATTAAACAAAACCCCAAAACTAAACAGAAACCAATGTCCTTGCCCTAGAGATCATCTCTGCCCAGATATTATTCAGTTTGTTTAAGTGCTGAGTTGTATTGTCCAAATTGCCTTTTTCAGTGTGATTCCTCTGACTTTTTCTTCCAATAAATATTGTTTGCCTACTTGGTTTAGTTGCATCTTGGAAATAGCATGCCGAAAAGGGCAAGGCAAGAGAAATACAAGACAGTGGATTCAGTGCATGAGTTTAATTTAGCTTACCTTTAATTTTTGGGTGCTATGGTAGTTATATTTACCCTTGATACCCAGAAAACGAACAGTCCTCTTTCATCTTCCATGTCAACTGTTCCTGGGCTCGCTCCTTACATGCTTGTCATAGAAAAAGCCCCCTAGGTACAATATAGCTCTTCTTCATTGGCTGGTTCAAATTTAAAAGGATGTTGTTGTTTAAAACTTTACTCTATTTTTGAAGTATCATTTTCATGTTTCCAAGGCTTTAACAAATAACCAGTTCTTGCTGAAGAATCCATCTGTACAAGATAAACCAGGGTGATTATCATAGACATCTTTTAAGTAGACATATATTTACAGCTTTGGTAATATGTATGTATTTCAATAGTAATGGATTAAGAATAGAAACAGTGAGGTGAAAAAAATGCACAGAGGGATCCCTGGTAAGAAATAACCTCCAGTGATTTGAAACATAGTTCAATTGTCTCTGCCATAAATTTGGGAATAAGTGTCATATACGGGTGATAAAAATGGCATAGGCTATTTTTTATATACTCATTATTCACTTAGTTTGTCTTTTTCAATTAACATGGAGTCTATCTTTCTCATCTGACTGGGTTTACGTTTCTTTCATAATCATATGTCAACAAACCATAATAGATACAGCATAATGTGGCATCCAGTGTAAATCTTTAGGTTAATCCTTAACATTTTTTATTATAGTTCATTTGGAATCACTTTGTAACTTGATCATGATTTGTATTGGTGGGGTTTTTTTGTGATATAGTTAATATACAGCTTTATCTTTTCTCACCTCTTTAATGTAGAGAGAGGATGCTCAACTACTTAACCAA